AATTGCACAGGAAGAGACTGTTCACCTCTCCTCCTTGGAGCTGTTGATGGATTTGAATCACCGAGAGGTGCTACCTTTGCGTTAGCAGTGCAACTGCCTACAGACACCACCACCAGAGCTCCCTTCTCCTTGAAACACAAGGAAAGAACGGGTGTGCTCAAGAGGGTGTGCAAGAAACATACATACACATGGATGGGGGGAGGGAGAGAGGGAGAGAGAGAGAGAAGGCCTCACTTCTAGAGAGAAAAGCCACATTTAACCTCTGGGTTACTGCAATACTACTTAAAGGAAAAATTCAAGTAAGGAATATTCTTGTCAGATGCCTTTTTCCTCAGCTCCCACACGTGGCTTGGCCATAATCAAGCTACACAACGAGGCCTCCTTATTGCTCCATCCTGCTTTGCTCTCTTTATTGTTTTGGCCTTTGTTATTTACTGCTTCTGTAGGACATTAACTTCTTCCAGTCTTACTTGCCATAGACCTCTTGCCTCTGTTCCCCAGTGATGCCAGGGGTACTGCCTCTCCTCTGGACACACTAATAACCAACTTGGCCTTCACACCAGGAGGAAAAGTCTCTGGACATGACAACACATCTCAAGTCCCAAAGAACAGAGTCCTGTCTACACAGAGCTGACTGTTCAGTGCACTGCCACTCACTTATTTGGTATCTATGAATGTGAGGTACAAGGGACAGATATTAAGATCAAGAAGGTGTGGTATGGTAGGAATAAGTACATTTTTAATGACAAACCTCGCTTCAAATCCTAGCTTTGCCTCTTACTAGTTTAAATGATCATGGGCAAATGACTTAACAGCCTGAACCTCAGTTTCATTACCTGTTAAATGGAAATCCTAACTCTATTCTGTTTACAGTCTAGCTGAAAAAGACAGCCTACATACTCTATCACTGATTTGCTTAACTTTCTTGGAACCTTTTTGTCTTCCATCCACGGTGACCACAACCTTTTTCCAATAGTCATCTGGGACATAAAGCTCAACCCTGCAACCCTCATTTCCCCTTTGCTCAGAAGCTTAAATGGGTCCACCTCACTGCTTCCCTCTCCTCTCCTTTTACAGTTACTTATTCTGGAAACCAGCCCCAGTTTTAATGTCTCTCAGATGAATTACGGATCAGTCGTTAGAATGATGACAAGAGCATGAATTTCCTCATTAAAGTCCCAAGAGCAAAAGGCAATGCAAACAAGGCAAGCAGTCCTGGCCAAGGTGTGTTGAGGACAGCCACTCATCAGGCCTGCGTTTGGCTTGGCAGGAGGCTCTGCTCCCAGTGAGCCGGAACCAGACCCTGGTCTTGGGCTGACAGCTCTGATTTAAGCTACTAGGAAGGCCAACGAGTCAATATTTGCCCAGGTCACTGTAAAACGGGAAGAATTATAAACAGCTCAGAGCGGTAAGTGATGCAGGAAGCAGTTTCCGGAGACGGATTTAGCATTTTCCAGCGATTCCCCGGATGGCACTGCCTGGAGGAGGGAGGCTGGAACTAGCTGCTTTGGGGTGCAGCAGCCCTCCTCACTGCACAGTTCCTGGAGGACAAGAGCCATTTCCAGGCAGAAGTTCACGGGGTACCAGCACTTGCTCTGGGATGGCACAGGGCCCACCTTGTTCAGAGGCAATCCCTTCAGGCCCTGCTGTCAAAGCAGAGCCAGGAAGGGCTTTACCTAAACAGTCCAAGGCTCCAATCTGCACTCAGGCATGTGGGCCAATGCCTGCTTCCTCACACAACTATTTTTTAAATGCATGGAGACCCAAAGCCCAAACGATCCAAGCCCACTGATACCTGATGGATTCTGACAGCAACTCACAGCATTGATGCATTTCAATCACCAACCTTTCCGTTAGGCGCTAACCACTGCACCGTCATGGTTCCTTCTGATTAGTTGTCATTGTTTTTAGGTGCTGTCAAGTTGAGTACGACTCACAGCAACCCTATGAACAACAGATCTGAACCGTGTCCTGTGCCATCCTCCTCATCTGATACACCTGAGACCATTGCTGCAGTCACTGTGTCAATCCATCTCATTTCACAAGAATTGTGATTAACAGAATACAAATTCACTTGTATTCTAAATTTACCTTCAGGCTGTAAATTGTTAACAGAAGGTGACAGTCCATGTTTCTCCCTTATAACTGCTGGTGGATTTGAACTGACAGAGACACGTGGCCTTTTGCCTAGCATCAAATCACTTACAAACTACACAACCAGAGCTCCTTATTAAAAATGACAAGGTAGCAAAGAAAATATTTTTAAGTTCTTTCTCTGCCAATACCATTTTTTCTGAGGGCAAAACGCTGTCTAACAGTGACCTCTAATAGTGCAAAGCTCAAGGCTCAAGGCCTCCCCTTGGGATGAGGTGTCAAGGTGTTAAACATGGAATTGTGCAATCAAGACAAGCCTATCAGTAAAGACAATGCCTTGCAGACCAAGCTCCAGCCACCTTAACAGCCTATATATAAGTAGGACATCTTGAAGATGGTTGCTAATGACACCTAAGAAAAAAGATGGGTGAGAAAAAGCTATTCAACAGCTTCTCAGATTTTACTGTAAGTACAAAATACCTGGGGCCATCTTGCAAAGCACTGTGGTCCATAGTCATATTATACTACTGATATGCAGGTGGTCAACTGCATATAAATCAAAAGGCATTAACTTTAGAATGGGAAGGTCTTATAAGGATGGTGGATTTACAGCTCCCTAAACAAGCTCAGGGAATCTTGTCATGTGGGTTGAGTTGTGCTGCTAACCCAAAGGTCAGCAGTTTGAATGCTCCAGTCATCCTTCAGGAGAAAAATGGGCAGACCGCTTCTGTAAAAATGTATAACCTCAAAAAAAAAATAATAAATGTATAACCTCAAAAATACTACTGGGAAGACCTGTTGTGTCCTGGAAATTGCTATGCTGTGGAATCGATTCACTGGCAGGGAGTCTAGTTGGTTTTAAACACACTCACTCAAAGAAACATGATCAACAGACTGATGTCTCCCTCTAAGGAAATCTCTGATGATCACACTGAAAGTCTCTGAACTTGGCCTTGTTCTAGCATCAAGTTACAAGAGCTTTTTTAAAAATGACAAGAATTGTCTTGGGAAATGTGCAAAAAAACCCCACAAAAACCCAAAGCCAGATAGAGAAGTTAAGATTAGAACCAAGATTCACATAACTATCAGAGACTGAAATAAAAATAAGCAAAATATAAGGAAGATAACTCTTAAATCTCATATTTGAATTAAGGCAAAGAAAAAACTGTACAAGGATGAGAACAGGAAATTCCTGGCCTCTGAGGGGTCAGGAGGTTAGACAGATGCTTAAAGTAAATACTTCCTCTTCTACGACTCCTTTCAGTTCTTCTTCTGGCCTCATCTCTCTTTTCTGTGGACCCTGACTACTGTCCCTCAGCATCTGAGTCTATTACCAATCATTTAGGCTGTCTTTTGGGTTAACTGTTGCTCCTGATTTATATCAAAGAAATGGCCCTTTAGCAGACTGTGCACAAACTCACAAGAAGGCCAGCCAATGCAATCCCACATTCTGGTGCTAGCTCACATTCTGGTGCACAGTTCCTTCTTGAACATTCAGAAATGGGCTGCCTTCTAAAGTGTCAAATAAGGCTAGTAGCTGCAGAAGGAACCCATGAGGTTGGGAGGCTAATTAGGTGACCTCTGAACTCTTCTAATTTAAGATCTTGTGATTCTGACAAGTCTGGCTGAATTTTGGCTGAGTTTGGACGGCTCTGGCCAAAGGTAGTAACTTGCTCTTGATGATATTTGTTCTCTGAATTTTGCAAAGTGGTTTGCTTGCACCTATACTGGCAAGGTCTCGTGATGGTTACTCAGTTCCATCCTGAGCGCCACTGCTGTGTGGATAGGATGGAGCTGAGCAGAGAGCAAGCTGTTTACAAGGGCTCGCTAGTTATCAGATCTGCTGGTGGTAGGAAGGTTAGATAGATGCTTAGACACTTCCTCTTCTATGGGTCCCATATTCTATTAGTTCTTCTTTCAGTTTCTTCTCTCATTTTCTGGGTAGCCAGTTATGGTCTCTCAGTAGCTATGGCTTATTGTCAACCAACTAGGCCAACCTTCTGGGCCTGCTATTGTGCCTTCTATCAACCTACACCCACTGAAAGATCTATCTACCAGTTCTCTTTGCAGAGAGTGCCTTTCAACTGACTTCCAATGCCTAGTCTTCCACCAACCATTCAGGGTGAGGTCCAACAAATTACACACTATGGGTAACGCCAGCACTCCACACTAAATAGCAGCCAGGTTTTCTTCAAGGAAATCAGTATCTCTTTCCCGTTTTCCTACAGAACTGCCAGAATTTCCTCTATTTTCTAAGAAGATATTGGTCGGAGACTGTCAGGAGCCACTGTGTAGAAAGAGCTAGAAATAACATAAAATCATTAGGTTCCTGAAGTTAGGTATGCTGAAGCCTGAACGTCTCATTTCCATTTTTGCTTACGTCAGACCTGTATTTCTGTCTCTTGCCACCATGAGTCCGAATCTTAGGTAGAATTGAAAAATTATTTATGCTGATGTGTTGGCAGCAGCATCGCTAAGTGAACACCACCAAATCCAAACCCAAGCCCACTGCCATCAAGCATATTCCAACTCAGTGACCCTCGATTGGATTTCCAAGGCCACAGATCTCTATGGGAGGAAGCGACCCCCTTTGCTCCCACAGAGCAGATGGTGGATTCAAACGACCAACCTTTCAGCTTAAAGTCCAATATATTACATACTATGTGTTACACCAACCCTTCATGCCAAAGACTGGAGCATGTTTTCATGTACAGAAGCTAACTCAAAGCAAAGTCTCTCACATCTGAATCTCAAGGACCAAGTACGCTTGTGGGGAGGCAACACGAGGTACAGAGGCTATTCCAGAACCTGTCTGTGGGGGCAAATGCTCACTCATCTGTCCAAAAGACTAGCCCTGAGGCTTGCATCGGAGGGTGTTAGCAACTGGTCATGACGAGAAACTCTACCTGTCTGGTAAGGCTGCCGCCGAGGTTCATGGTGCCAGAGCCAGATTTGTTGGTTTGTAGCCACAGCATCACTGTGGAGGTTAATTTGTAATGGGCGGTACGTCCACTGGATTTCTCCTGGGAGACACAAGACAGAGATCAGACAGACCAACAAAAACTGTAACAAAACCCCACAACAAAAACAACAAAACCCTTGTTCACAACTCCCAAGATTCAAGGAGAGCCTGGTGGGACCTGTTGAAAGGTCCCTCTAACACATCCCTTCCTAATTCACAGCACAACTGGGCCTTTGTTCTAAAATCCCACCTGGCTTTTAAAGGAAAAGAGTCCAAAATCGTGTTTGCCCAGTCCTTTCAGGATCTTTACCATCATCACTGACTGCTGCAGTGATGACTTATCTTTATTCAAATTATTTCAGGGTGATTTGACAAATCAGCAGGGATTTAAATATCACAGTTTACTCCCCTAAAAGTGGCACCTGACAGAAAACAGGCTTGCACGGTTCAATGTGGCATCTGTGCTATAAGGCCTTGAGCATCCAGCTGCTCGGGTGATACCTGTACTTCCACCACGTGGATGGAATCCCAGCAGCCTTTGATCTTCTTTGATCCATCCCCAGCCTTCTTTATGAGGATCACTCCAGCAAAGCCATGATCCAGATCCCAGAGGTAGACAGATGAGACGCCGCCTTCAAAATACCTGCAGGAAATAAGCCATGATGTTAAGTCTTTCAAATTAGAGATCAGTCAATCCAGGTCCCATGGGTTGTGATGTAGCAAAGATTAGCCTAATGTTTACCCAAGAGGAAGAACTTAAGACAATGGTCTGCAATAGATCAGCAATGGCCCCGGGCTGATCCTTGGATGTGTTCTGAACTCCTCTGGTGTTGGAGTGAGGGTAGGAAAGAGGGTACATCATGGTTTGGTGTTGGGGGTAAATAAAACAGAACACAAGCTTAGGAATTCTAAGGATGAATCTGAACTGAGCTCTGTCATACCAGTTTTGCAACCTCTGACAAGATTGCTAAATTTCTCTGGGATTCGGAGTCCTTATAGATCAAGATCCAACAATGTTTCACACATAGGAGCCCCCACCCCCACAAAAAGAGAGAGAGAGAAGGTAGCTATTATCATTGATACAGTCATTAATTACTATTTGATAGTTTTATCTTTCCAGACAGTTATTTTCGTACCATTGAGTCAGAAATGATTAATTGCTGACTTTCCAGGGGGATTTCAGAGCTGTAAATTGACAAGGAAGTGACTGCTATCTTTCTTCCAAGGTGGCTAATGGACTCTACCGGCTTGCATCTCCTTCCCACTAGGCCAGCAGAGTGGTAATACAAGGAAAACAGAGAGGAAAAACAAACTGGCAAACTCCCCCGAGTCACAGGCCCCTCTAGAGCCCAGGCACACCAGGGTCCTGTCCATCACTCGTTCAGAGCAGTTTGCTGCATGACTCTTACTAGTAGTAACTGTGGAATGGCATTTCTTTTCATGTTTGCATTAATATGGGAACATTTCCTAGGTGAGATTAGATGAAAGAGAGAAAGAAAGGAAATCAGGTAGGATTTAAAACAGAAAAGATTGAAGTCAATTTCTCTGACTGATTGAGGTCACTCTACATAGAGACTGAAGGAGCTCAGAACTCGACGATAGATGATTGGCTGATACAGACATATGACAATCCTTCAAATTCTGCTGATAACCAACCAAAACCCTGGGAAATCTTGTTACCTTTTAAAGAAAGGGTATATATGTTGTTAGGTGCAGTTTAACTACAACTCAGTCAACAACTCTGAACCAGTCAAAACCCTGCCTCCTCCTGCACCTTCCTCACAAACTCCATCAAGGTGGAGCCCACTGGTACATTGTCTTAATCCATCTTGTTGGGAATCTTTCTCTCTGGCACTTTACCTTTCCCAGCATGATGCCTTCTCTTTTCTCGATCTAGTCCAGTGCTGCTTATTGGTCCTGTGGTGAGGGTTTTTATTTATTTATTTATTTATTTTATGTTGAGTTGTAATCCATTTTGAAAGCTGCAGTCTTTGACCTTCTAAAGAAGTCCTTCAAGCCCTCTTCACTTTCTGCAAGTAAGATTTGTCATCTGTATAATGCAGGTTCTTAGGTCTTTCTTCAATCCTGATGCCACACTCTGTGATATGGTCCAGCTTCTAGAATGATCTGCCCAATATACAGATTGAAGACTGTTGTCATTAGGTGCTGCTGAGCACAAGTCATGGTAACCCTATGCACAACAGATATGAACTCTGTCCTGGTCTGTCCCATCGGCATAATTTGACATACTTGAGCCCACCAGTGCAGTCACAGCATCGATCCATTTGACTGAGGGTTTTCCTCTCTTTTGCTGACCCTTTCCAAGAGTGACGTCCCTTTTCAAAATAGCCTCTGCTAGCAACATGTATAAAGAATGAGAAACTTTGCCATGTTTGCCTCAAAGGAGCCATCAGGCTACACTTTCTCCAAGACATAGTCGTTTGTTCTTTTGGCAGCCCACGGGATAGTCAATTTTTTTCAACATCACAACTCAGAGGCATCAATTCTTCCTCTGTCATCCTTATTTACTGTCCAGCTCTCAGATGCATAGCAAGTGACTGAAAAGACCATAACTCGAATCTGGCATACTTTAGTCTTCAAACTGCTAACACTGATGCTCAGTAATCTGGAGAAGTCCCTGACGCGTGTACCAAGAGTGCTGGTTGTAACATTATGCAACATCATGTTCATTATAACATAATGGTAGATGGAGAAAAGATTGAAATTGTCACTGATTTCACCTTATTTATATCCACAATCAACATCCGCAGTCAAAAGACTGAATTGGTATGGAGAAAGGATACAACTTTGACGCACACGTTCCCTGATTTTAAACAATTTCCTTGTTCTGTTCATACAACAATTAGGTGTTCTGGGATCCCCATTCTTGTCAATGATAGCCATAATTTGTTATGGTCCACATAGCCAAATGCCTAAGTATAACTAATAAGACACAAGTATATATATTTCTGGTATTCTCTGCTTTCAGTCAAGATCTACCTGACATTAGCCATGATATCTTTTATGCTATGGCTTCTTTTGGATCCAGTTTGAGCATCTGGTGGTTCCCTGTCAATGTACTGTTGTGTTTTTTTTTTTTTAATATTTTAATGAAAGTTTACAAAAGTGTTGGATTTTCATTCATTCATTGTTGCATACTTTCCTCCCTCCAGTTCATTTTCTTCTAAAAAAGATATTAATTCACTGTTGCACAATTTCTTCCCTCAGTCCTCTCTGCAATGCACCTCTTATTCTGGACCGTTTTCCTACATACAATGCCTAGTCAAACATTCCTTTTAAACAGTTCTCTCCCTCATCTGTTCCAATACAGTGTTCACTGTCTATCCACTCTTTTCCTAGTCTTCTCCCAACCCCTCATGCCAGTCCTCCTTCATAACAGTGGTGCTATAAAGTATTTGTCCTTTTGAGACTGAGACATTTCACTTAGCACAATGTCCTCCAGGGTCACTCGTGTTGGGTAAAGTTTTATGAGTACATTATTTTTCAGTGTGGTATAGTATTTGATTGTGTGAATATACCATAGTTTTTCTAACCATTTATTTGTTGATGGACAGTTGAGTTGCTTCCATCTATATGCTATTGTGAACAACACAGCAATAAACATGGGTGTGCACACATCTATTTGGATGGTGGTTCTGATTTTTTTAGGGTCTATTTCCAGCAGTGCAACTGCTGGGTCAAATGGTATTTCTTTATTTTTTCCAAATGGTATTTCTATTTCCAAATGAGAAAGCACCAAATCACCTTTCATAGTGGTTGAACCATTTTACACTCCCACCAGCAGTGAATAAGGGTTCCAATCTCTCCACTACTTTGCCAGCATTTGTTGTTTGGTGCTCTGCTGAACTTTGCTTTTGTTACTTGGGTGAGACCATATCACATAGTTGTTTTTATTTGCATCTCTCTGCTACCTAGGGATTTTGAACATTTCTTCATGTGTTTGCTTGCCATCTGGATGTCTTCATTGGTGAAGTGTCTATTCACATCCTGTGCCCATTTTGTGATTGGATTTTCTAATCTTTCTCTTTTTGAGGTGCCAATGTACGTTTAAACTGTCATTTTAAAATAATCTTCAGCAAGATTTTACTTGCACGTGACAGCAAAGATATTGTTTGATCACTTGGTCTGTTGGATCACCTTTTTTGGGAATGGAAACAAGTATGGAACTCTTCCAGTCAGTTGATCTGGTAGCTGTCTTTCAAATTTTGTAGCACGGGCTGGTCTGCAGGTCTAGGGATGTATCTATTTGCTGAAAAAGGTCAACTGGTATTCCAGCAGTGGGGTTGGTTGTTTCTTTTTTAAATGTTGAGATTTTTAATGGAAGTTTAGAGAGAACTTGGATTTCTATTCATTTATTGTTGTATGTTTTCCTCCCTACCCCTACCCCAGTTCCCTTTTCTCGTAGAAAAAAAATTCTTTCATTGTTACAATTCCTCTCCTTGCCTCCCAGTCGATGTTGCTATGCAGCTCTTATTCTGGACTGTTGTCATGCAAATACCACCTAATCATATATTCCTTTTAAACAGTTCTTTCCCTCATCTGTTTCAATGCAGTGCACATTATTTATCTTCTTGTTTCTTAGTTTCTCTCCAAACCCTATCTCAGTCCTGTTTTCTAACAGTGGAGTATTTGTCGTTTTGTGACTGAGATATTTCACTCAGCATAACATCCTTCAGGGTCACCTATTTTGGATAATATTTTATGAGTTTCTTGGTTTTTTTTTCAGTGCTGCATAGTATTTCATTGTGTGAATACACCAGAGCTTCTCTATCCATTTGTTTGGTTTTTTTTTTTTAAACTTTATTTTTTGTGTGTGTGTGTGTGTGCATGTACTGTCAAATCAGATCTGACTGGTACAGGAGGAAACTGTCCCTCCTTCTCCCGCAGAGCATCTGGTGGATTCAAACCGTTTACTTTGGGATTGTAGTACAGCTTCTTGCCACTAGGCCACCAGAGCTCCCCTTCCATTCGTTTTTTGATGGGCACTTTGGTTGTTTCCATTTCTTTGCTATTGTGAACAATGCAGCAATAAACATAGGCGTGCATATATCTATTCCATCTGTTTTTACGGCCTTATATTTTTTTTTGTCCGTGCCTTCAGTGCATCTTGAAGTTCTTCCTCATTATCACTAGTTCTTAATCATATGCTACTTCCTGAAATGGCTCCACGCTAGCCAATTCTTTCTGGTACAGTGACTGTGTCTTCCATGTTCTTCTGGTATTTTCTGCATCAGTCAAGATTTTGCTCATTGAATCTGTAATCATTGCAATTTGTTCTTCAGTTCTTTTAGTGTGATAAATGCCTAGTATGTTCTTCATTTTTGGTTTTCTATCTCCAGCTCTTGGATGTTCTTGGAGAAAAAAGAAAAGTAAAACCAAAAAACCCAGGAAGAAAAGACACATTATTTTCGTTACAAGCAAGTATCTTGCCTCTCAGAGCCCCACTCGCCCTGCATCGTTGCTGCTCCTCATGGAGCGACTTCCCATGGAAGAAACATTCAGGGAGCTGTGAAAAGAGTTGGTACAACCTTTAAGCAGAATCTCACACCTGCTGAGACATTTGGTAAAGACCTGTAAATAGTTCAACAGGGTGAGCATGGGATCCATATTTGGACAGACCCA